GCACGCAATAGCAAGTAGAACATTGTACTCACTCTAATATTTTTCAAATTTCTTGTACATTTTGGTTGCCATTAACTTAACATATTCATCATCATCTTTCATCCCACTCTTTAAAGTACGTTGCACAATAAATACTTGAAGAAAGTAGAGATTAGCTGTTGGATAATTCGTACCGGAGAAAAGACAAGTGACTGCTAGAAATCATGATACTTAAGTGAGAAATTCAAGGTGTGTTTTCATTGATTTATGAAGTTTAGAGGGGTTTTGTTCAAAACCCCCAATGTTCATGGGGATACCCTAAACTTCAAATTTGACTGACGCATATAACTGCAGCCTAATGATATTCGAGCTGCTGAATATGGAGGAGCTTTAGCAGTAGGGGTGTGCACAGGGGTATTCTCAGGAGAGGAGCTGAAGCAGGCAATCAATGGTAGTGCCATTATCCTCGCAGATGTTAAAGATACCTAATTTTGATGAAGCTTAGAGAGAGAAAGAGAGAACTTACAGAGAGCTCTGCCATTATCCTCGCAGATCTTAAAGATACCTAATTTTGATGAAGCTTAGAGAGAGAAAGAAAGAACTTACAGAGAGGATCTAGCTCGCCGTTTGTCGCTGCTCGTCGCTCGCCGTCACTCGTCGCCACTTTTGATGAAACGACGCCGCTCGCCGCCGCTCGCCGCCTTATCCGTCGCCCGGTTCGGCACCGCACGCTCCTCACTGCCGCTCGCCGCCGCACGCAGATGAAATCTAAGGTTTTGTTTATGAGAAACGAAGAGAGACCCAATTCACCCAAAATAGGCATACTCAATTTCAACAACACACGCATACGGTCAAGGTGGCCATTATGAGGAACAGGGTGCTTAGGCATACCTAATTCACCCAAAATAGGCTTAAGGCGTCAATATTCAATAGGAGCTCCTAGACGCTATATTGTGAGGCCTCAGAGCTGCCTCCGCCAAGGTAGAAGTCGGGACTGCTTTTTAAACAGCCTGATAGTATGAAACAAATGTCCTATTGTATACAGGAAAATTGTAATGAAATAATGCAAGAGAATAGAAGTCATACTCATGGCCGCATAGTGTATGAGCATAAGCAAATCTCGAGTCTAGTTGCACTGCACGTAGAAAATTTTTTCATTGTAGTTTCATTCTTCAATCAAATAATGTCATCAACTACACAAGCTGATACTTGATGTTAAATAATCAATTAGTATACCAGTACAGAGATCATACTAAATGAATCTTTCACAAAAAAAGAGATCTTGAAAGTTTTCTCAGTAACATATATGAAATTTTATTCAAGGGAATTAAAATTACCCAAGACATTTTCCAGCTGAAAAGGCAGAAATACAAATCAGACAATAAGACACTTTACCCATGATAGCAGCAAGCACAAAACGATTATCCAAGCTCCAAACAATCATATTAACACCACGAGGAGTGGGCTGAAATCTTTGCCGTGGACCTCCACGAGCAGGCTGCGGAGGCATTGGAGGTGGAGGAACCTTAAGATGATAAGCACGTGTCCAACGCCCAACTTTTCACTGACATAAACCAAAATCTAATAAGAGAAACTCCAAAGAAATTATGTGAAATCATAGTAAGATGCATCATTAATATGGCAACTGAAGCGATTAAATGAGAAGTGTCCAAAAACAATTGTTTTAACAGTTTCCTCCCCCTCCATGTCCAGGCACTTTGGAAGCAGATCTTTCTCTAGAGATGCTTCAACAGAAATTCTTTTATCAATGCCAATACACAAGATAATAGCTAAAAGTTGGTTTGGTGACCAAAGCTTTGGTGATGTAAAAGCGGACAAAAGAATAAACTGTTAATACCAATATGCAATAAGAACTGCTGTACACATCCAACAGGTGTCAATACCACATATTATAAGAAACTCATATGGAACCTATCAGAAGTCCAATCCATGCATCACATTACATGAATCACATTACAAAAAGAGATTTATAAACATCCATAATTGCAAAATTTTGCCTGTCCATTATACTTATTCCTACATAGTTCTAAAGCATGTTCGCACTACCACATGTGTTTAGACATAAACAGGACTCAATACCACATATTTATAAGAAACTAATACAGAGCTCACCATAAGGCCGACCATGAATCCGCATGCAATAACAGATATGAGATTATCCATAGTTGCAATTTTTTTGGCTATCAGTTAGACTAATTCCTTCATATTCTAAGGCATGTTCTGACTTCTGCTTAATACAATAGTAAAGATCAAAATTAATGATTAGGTGACTACAGTTTTGTGATAGATCATACAGTCATCAAGTTTCCAATAACCAGACACTTCCAGAAACACATAATGGCATTCAGCACATAAGTTCAACCCACAAAGACAATCCTCCCAAGGATTTCAAGCCCACCAATCTCAAACGAGATGATAAAAAAACATTTTGATTCATCTAACAAGGATAACCATGAAAAGACAAGAAGTTTTACAAAGAAATATGAAAAAAGAAAAAAGGAAGAGCTCACATGGGATCTGCGTGATTTTGGAATCCGAATAATAGCACTTCCATCGCGAGAACATGTAACTATGTTGTCATGAGTGAACCTGAAAAAATGTGGGTCAGTATGCATCAATCTGACAGACAACTTTGATAAGGGCTAGTTGCGCCGTCGACGGAGAAATGGTCACCTGCAGAATGGGGGCCTCCCGTTGAAGCGGAGATTCTCGCGCCGATGAATGACCCCCAGCCAACGCTTCCATAGGAGCAGGAGATCCCCCTATTCGGCCAGGCGCGTCCTCAAGCGCCAAATCCTCTGCCTCACTGGACAATGCCTCGTGAACTGAGATATTGTCATCCTCCTCAGATTCGCCCGCCTCAGATGAGCGATTCACCCAAGAGTGAGGATCCTCCTCACCTGCGACTTCACGGTTAGGGTCAATTACAAATGCACAAAAAAAAGAGGTTAACAGAGACCCCTCGAAAGGGACCCTACTAACAGTCGAGTACGGGAAGAAAAGTGATGCTAAAACACACACTTACCCGAGCCGGTGGGCCCCTCCTCATCTCCAGCCTCCCCTTCCTCGTCGGAAGGAATGGAAATCACCTTCTCAATCGCACCTGCATAGGTCCAATACCAATGGCAAAAGGTATGAGATCATCGTTGCGATCAAAGACGCTATTGCAAAAGAAAAATTACCTCCTGATGCGGACACAGAAGCCGCTGGAGCTCCCGTCGGTAACCTCTCGCCAGATCGCGGAGGAGCGTCTCTCATAGTCGCCGGAGCCGCCCCCGATGCAGCAGAAGAGACGGGCAATACGACTCCAGACGTCGCCGCTCCGGGGATACCCACCTGGGGAACATCATCCTGACCTTCCGCCGCTCGGACGGTTTCCGCCATCACATCACGACGGACCTTCTTAGCCGCTCCCGCTCGGGAACTCTCAGCCACTGCCTCCCGCTGACGCTTCGAGAGAAGCGAGCTACTCGGGGATAGCAGAGGCGCCCCCATTTGTCCGATTGTCGGACTCTGGACTGGAGCTCGAATATCGGGAGCCTCGGATTCACCACCAGCATCGAAGCCCTCATGGTCCTCCACGGGATCCTCCGAGAACAACTCCCTGGCAGTTTGGTGGCCCCTTCTCTTTGAAGAACGGAGAGAGCCCCTGATGGGACGATCGCGTTCCGCCAGACATGAGCTTTGGAACCAGAAGTTGGCAGGGTCAGCACTAGCACCCCGATACCACCGACAGTACAAGAGCGTGTGGTGTAAATCGCGGTCCTTCGCAGGCAGCTCAAAACGAGCTTGAGTACCTCCAGCATGGGTCCAGAACCACCCCCGAGCTCCGTCAACCAGTCCTCCTTCGAAGTGTAGGCGAGGGGGCGTTGGAGATAGCATGTGGAGCCTGTTCTCAGAACGTGATACCCTGGTCGAATGTCCACCAACCAGCGAAAGGCACCACGGGAAAGGATTGTGTGGTGATCCGCCGTCGGCGCATCCCTGAGAGATTCTCCATATCCACCCCCGCTGAAGTAAGGAAAAGATCGACGAAAATTATAGTGCCCGAAGTGGGAGAGCGTCTTCCTCGTATCGGGGATGTCCTTGCACTTCCAGGAGCACCTCTCCAAACGCTGGACGAAGGGGACAAACCTGTCGCCCTGAAGCGCCGCCGGGGCACTCATTAAACATTCGCAGTGGTATACGAACCACGCCATCAAGTATGTGTACGGCAGACCCACCCTAGGATTGGGGGTTCTGATAACTTCTCCGTCCCCCTCGTCGAGGACCGACACACGGCAGAATTGGCTCGTTAGAGTACGAAGCCCCCGATGGATGCACGCTATCGTCGCCGATACAAGGGAATAAGACTTCCCGTGAGCCAGGCAAACCGCCGGATACACGACCTCCACAGGAAGAGCCTCGAAAGAGTGAGTGGGGATTACGCACCTCTTTAGCCATAACATGAGGTACCCCGCGAGCAGCGCCTTCCCCGAGATGAGAAACTTCGCCTGATGATGGAATGAGTGAAGAACCGTACCAGACTTAAATCCGCCTTCGTCGCGGTCGAGAATCACGGTGCTTCCTTCTTTAGCTATCCTCGCCTCCACTTCGGGTTCATCACAGGCGCCTAACGGGAAAGCAGGCGTACCCTTGACATCGTTCCCCGGGAACAGATAATCAGCCCAATTCTTGTGGCTGATCCCAGGGGTCTTCTTCTTTTTCCCCTTATGATCGGAGGCCCCTAAGGTACTGAGGCATATGTGGAAGTGGCACAGTAACTCCCACAGAGTCTCAACCGCCAGAGGGGAATGGTCCGACAGCTGATTGATCTCATCTTGATCGGGGACGTACTCCTCATAAGGAAAGTCTCCCAGAGGCAGCCCCGACACGTCGTGCATCTCGAAGGGGGTGATACCAAGCTCACCATTGGGAGTGAAAAACGTGCCGCTTTCCGCACAATACAATTCCAGAATGCTATGGAATTGAGAAGCGTTGATCCGCAGGCCATGTCGAGTGGCTTCGATGGCCACATACAGCTCTGTGCCCTTGAGGTCAGCATTCTCGGCCAAAACATAGTCGGTGATCTTGGACCACCACGTGTCACTGCCAGGTGCAGAGTAAACCCACCCCGGGGCTCTAAAGTCCTTCGGGGGAAAGCTTCCACCGACTCGGAAGAAGCGGTGACGGAAAGTCTCCGCCACCGCTGTCGATTCCCCCACGGGCGGTTCAGCAGACACTAAGCCAGGGCGCAGACCCGTCACGCGCTTACATGAGCTCTCCACTCCATCCCCAGCCGTAGAACCCGTAAAGACGCCACAAGTGACCCCGTCCTGAGTGGGGGTCAAATCCCAGTTCATCGTCCGAGGAATCGCGAGGGACCGCAGCTCAACAATCGAAAACCCTCTCGGCATGCTGGGGAGGTAATAATGGGTCCCCTCTACCGTGCGGAACCACCGGCTCTCTTTGAGCAACAGGGCAGAAGGGTCGGTCATGGAGTCGCCGAACAGAAATTGAGGTTTCGGCAGCTCTGCCCTGGCCTCATCTGTCAGCGCCGCATTGGTCGTCAGCTCGCGCAGGGTCAAGTGATGACCATCCGTGACCCTCTGTACCAGACCATGCAGCTTATCAGCAGTGAACAAGGGTACTGGAGCCAACGAGGGAAAACGAGAAGGGGCCGTGTAGCTCTTAGCCCCGACGTGGCCAACGGCCACACCCTCCGGGAAAGCCTCATCAGGGAAGGTCGCTGCAACAAGAAATAGAAAGTCAATTGAGACAAAATCCGCTGTAGAGGTGAAATCGCCCATCGAACATAGGAAGGCGAAATCGCCTATCGAAAGGGGGAACCCACTTCGAACGAGGTCTGTCCCTACGGACTACACTCCCCTCTAATGGGAAGGGCCGAACTCGCCTTACGAAAAAGGGGTTCGTCTCCTCCCCACTGGAGAATTCGCCCGCGGGGACAGTACTCATCCTCTAAAGGCAAAATAGGGCAAACTTTGCCCCAAATCGGGGAAATAAGCAACACTCATCTCCCTAAATCCGACGCCTAAGGCCTGCAAGGGATCGCCCAACGAATCCATCAACGTACCTGGGCACGACTCCAGAGCACCAGCAGGCATGCCGGCAGAGAGACGGTCGGAGTAACGTCCGGGACCTGCACCCCTCACTTTGCACCTCTTAGATTTCGGAGCCATTGTAAGAGGAAGCGGGAATTCTTTCCTTGGATGTTCCCTTTCGAGATTTGAAAGCACGGTAAATCCCAATGGAGGAAAACGGCTGATTTAGAAGGGCGGAGTTGCCCACGTGACCACGACTGCCCTCGAAAGGCGAAAACCCTAACGAACAAGAAACGTGGCCACGATTAAATTCGACGGTCCAGATCACCCTCAGTACATCGAAGGAACCAAGACTGGCGGTTGAATCCAACGGTTGAGTCCGAGAACCACGGCCACGATACGTCGCAGGGCGAAACGCACGAGGATCGTGCTGTCAAGTCACGATCGCCACGATCCAATGTCTTAGCTGGGAAGCACGAGGCTCTGTCAGCAGACGCGTGGCTCATCTCTCGTCAGATCCGGTTCCGCCTACAAAAGGAAGGGTTTCGCCTGCAAATACTGGGCATAACCCCACGAGTCGCGCGAGAATTGGCTCTCAAAAATTAATTTCGCCTTGACGATGCATTCGCCCTCAAAGGTAAAATTACGAACAAAGCCAAAAGAATGACCTTGCTTAAACGGTTGAAACCCACGCCCCAGATGGCTAAGGGTTAGAGCAGAAATCTTAGCATTAAGCCTAAGAGAAACTGTTCGACAACTCATCATACTGAGGAGAATAGTATGGCTAGCCCGATTCAAACGGTAATCGGTAAAGGCACATCAAACCCGTTGATAGCTGAGGGTTTGCTAAAAATCCTAAGAGAAATCGAAGGCACTTGCTTCGCCAACAGTTTCTTCATTCAAAGTGTTCCAGACCACACGCAAGCCAGTTTAGGTCCGAAAACTTTGAAGGGGGTCTTGTAGACGGTAAAAAATACCTCTATGGGTCTACAGGGAATTTGTCTACGAGAAGAGTTCGCACGCCCAGTTCTCTGACACGGACCTAAACCGCGTAGACGTCGACTGTGCTCAAATCCAGGTTCGCCTAACGGTCGACTCGCCAGCATGAGTCAGGAGCGATCAGGATGGCGGAAATTTGCTCTTCGCTCAACTCGCCTGCCCGAGTTCGGAGTCGAATCCGCCAGCAAGCCCCAAAACCGTCAGTACAGCTGGGTATCCACTACCCCACGTGCTGAGGTGGGCCTTCCCACCTCTCTCGACCCAAAGGGAGAGAGAGCACAGTACCCCAGGGCCGTCAAAACGGCCGCCCACAGTGCGCACAGCGCGAAGGAGCTGGACAGGTGTCGAGTCAACCTGAGCATTCATAAATGCGACTCACCTCGGCTGTCTGAGTCTGGAGCTGGGTCCGCCGGCACTCGGCAAGCTGGCTAGACTCACTCGAGTACTGTACACCTACTTCACCGCCTCTCCTGACCGGAAAGGAGAAAGCGTCGTGCTCAAAGCACGCCGGGCGGTCACGCACAGTACTGGTGATCGGACAGACGCCTCATCGATCTGCGGACTCATAAATGC